ATTTTGCTTCAGTTTCTTTTTAGGTCGACATAATTAATATGTTGTTTTATAACTGAGTATATGCTGCCATCTTTCACATTTGATTTTCAATTGTGTGTGATTACCTTATTCATCTAGGTCAGAAATGCAAGCATCACATCTTATAGTCATATTATATTCTCTGTATCTGAATGCCATATAAACTCAATAGGAATTTTCTGACAGGCCAAGTATATTCCGATTCAAGAGTAGATTGGTGCAGGCTCAAACTAAATCATCTAAATCCTTTGCTTAAATTATGCCAGTCACAAGTAACAATCTCCTTATAAATCACTTAACTATGCATATCTTTTTCAAATAAACATATTAGAAATTTGAAAACCCTGGCATCCAGTTTGTATAGGATCCCTAATAACTACCTGTAATTTAGTTTTAACAGACAGTGCTTGATTAAGATAAGATTTTATGACATTCTTCCTTTATGGAGGCTTTTTCTAAGTTACATCAAACTTTTCTATCTGCACTCAGTTATTTAGATTACAATTATAATATTCATGTATGATTGGTAGCACAAAGCAATCTTTTCTCAGGAGTAAAAGGGGAGGCAGAATATTTCAGTATAAAGTCAGAGATAAGATCAAATAAAGATCTTCCCCTTGACAGTTGAGTATCATAAGTGTAGGGGTTCAGTCAACCACTCTCAGGAGTAAAAGGGGAGGCAGAATATTTCAGTATAAAGTCAGAGATAAAATCAAATAAAGATCTTCCCCTTGACAGTTGAGTATCATAAGTGTAGGGGTTCAGTCAACCACCTTTGTATAACTGAAACTCTTTTCTTCTCAGAACAATAGGTATATAAAGGTTTCGTTAAAGAGTAGGTATAACAAATTATCCTGATTATTATTACTAAGAAAGCTATGCACAGTTGTTCTGGATATTTGTGGATCAGTGAAAGGTAAATGTTTGGCCCAAGCTATGCCAATTCTTAAAATTTGTTCACCAAATAATTGCTAAACTGATAGATCAAATATTCATCAGTTATGTTATTTAATAGTATCTACATTATTTATATTAATGTAAAGTACTAATCATATTCATCATATTCATATATTAATCATATTAATATAATCGTTAACGTAAAGTAAGTTAGGAAATTAGTAATAATTATATAGTAAAATGAAAATATGAGGGTACTTCAAAAAGTTCATGGAAAGATTTGAATTCTTTCAAATCTATTTTTATACAAACTTTTTGAAGTACTTTCATATGTTTGCATACATAGTACTTATTCTATGATAGTTATTACAAAGCAAAATACATTTGTATTAGCTATATTCATCCAAAAATAATCTTGTCATAATTTATGAGACCATATTTAACAGACAAGGATTTTTCAGAGCAGATCTTGGATTACACAGTGTAAATGACTTTTTCTGTCTACAAGACTAGGATTAATAATTATTTACTTTAGTTATGTTTAGAGACTATATTAAACATTAAACTGGAATTAATGAGCTGACAATGCACCTCAGTAACTTAGAGGCTCAGTACGCTTGCTTCATCATGTATTATTAACATACCATCTGGGAAGTCAGGATGGCTGAGTTGCAGGTCTTTGCAAGTTCTGGCTGGGTTGGTCTGAGTACCCATTGGAAACTTCATATGCTCAATGTCTTGTTTCAGGGAATTGAGGGAACCAAAAATTTCCTCCATTCCATCCGAGTAATCAAGAATATTATCATCTGCATCTGCTTGCATACTTTCAGTATGTCTTCTTGTTTTTTTGGGAGACAAGATTGGTAAAGGCTGAATGACTTCACCAGGTGGACCCTGTATAGGAGATAAAGAGAGAATAATTATTTCATAAAGTAAAATATTCTGCAGATATTAGTTATTACTGGTTATGTTTTTGATTATAAGAAATTATAGTTGGGTTAGCTTTTCAGTAGCTACAAACAAAATGTATAAAATATAATAAGTCCATAAACATATACATAAATAAACTTTGTAAGTTCTTTTAAAAAGAACATAGTGGATTTTACTTTTATTCAGGTATGATGAGGCCAGCAGATCCGGAGGTGATGACTATTAAAAGACAGTTTATTACTCACAGTTCCCACGGGGCAGAGAGGGACACATCACACCACTCATAAAGCACCATGGAGAGCACCTCAGAACATAGAGTTCAATCATAAGCAGAGAGAGTTAGGGGAACTTTGCAAGAGACTTACCGTGTTTTCAAGAGAAGGAATGGGTAAGACAAGGTAATGAGGCTAAGCAAGTTTAGGATTGGCAAGTTTGAATAATTTCAATGGGCTCCAGGGCTATCCCTTATTGTCTGATGCCTGACACTGAGGTGATCAGGACAGGAGAACAGTGTTCCTCAGTCTAAGAACCTGAAAAAGCAGGTACTTGGTGGTATGGACTCTGGATTGTATAGTTTACATGTGAAAGAAAATTCATTTGTTATCTCTAGGAATCTGCTAACCCTGGGAGGGGCAGTTCTTTCCTGGTCAGAAAAGGCTCCAAATGTCTAAGCATTAGAAGTGGAAACTAGAAAATATGGTTAATACACAATATCGTGTTGACTGTCCTGGGTTCTTTGCCTTTCCAAGTACATTTTAGAATCAGTTTGTTGATATTCACAGAATAACTTTTGGGGATTTTATTGAAATTGAATTGAATCTATGGATCAATTTGGGAAGAAATGACATCTTGACAATATTGAGTCTTCCTATTCATAAACATAGACTATTTCTCCATTTATTTAGATTTTCTTCGATTTCTTTCATCATCATTTTATGGTTTTCCTCATTGCCCATTGCTGGTATATGGAAAAGCAATTAACTTTTGTATATTCACCTTGTATCCTTTAACCTTGCTATAATCACTTATTTATACCAGGAGTATTGTTATGGTTGTTTTGTTTATGTTTTTTGTTTTTGTTAGTTCTTTGAGATTTTCTACATAAGCAATCACATCATCTGTAAAGACAGTTTTATTCTTTTCTTCGTTTGATGTTACACATTGAAGGAGAGGAACAAAGTTGGAGTACTGACGCTACCCAACTTCAAGACTTACTATAGAGATACAAGAAACAAGACAGTGTGGAATAGGTGAAAGATTAGACAAATATAATAAGGAATGGGCTATCAAGCTATGATGAGGCATTCACAAACCTTAAATGCATATTGGTAACTGAAAGCAGTAGTCTGAAAAAGCTATATTCTATATGACTCCAACTACATGATATTCTGGAGAAAAAATAAAAAAAAAAAAACGAAAACTTGAAACAGTAAAAAGATCAGTGGTTGCCAGTGGTTCAGGGGAGAAGGGGAGAAAAAAATAAGTGGAGTAGGGCATTTTTAGAGCAGTGAAACTATTCTGTAAAATTAAAAAACAAAAAACGAAAACTTGAAACAGTAAAAAGATCAGTGGTTGCCAGTGGTTCAGGGGACAAGGGGAGAAAAAAATAAGTGGAGTAGGGCATTTTTAGAGCAGTGAAACTATTCTGTAAAATACTACAATTGTGGATAGGTGACATTGTGCATTTGTGAAAACACCTAGAACTGTACAACACAAAGGGTTAAACCCTAATGCAAAATATGGACTTTATTTTTGTGAAGTTAATAATAACGCATCAATATTTGTTCAATAAATCTAAAAAATGCACTACAATAATTCAGGATGTTAATAATAATGGGAAAACTGTGTGCAAGGGTGGGGAAATACATGGAAACTGTATTTTCTGTGCAATTTTTCTGTAAAACTAAAGACACCCTAAAAAATAAAGCCTACTAAAGTAAAAGAGAGAGAGAGAAAAGAAAGAAAGAAAAAGAAAGAGAGAAAGAGAGAGAGAGAGAGAGAAGAGAAAGAGAGAGAGAAAGAGAGAAAGAGAGAAAGAGAGAGAAAGAAAGAAAGAAAGAAAGAAAGAAATTAATAATAACGCATCAATATTTGTTCAATAAATCTAAAAAATGCACTACAATAATTCAGGATGTTAATAATAATGGGAAAACTGTGTGCAAGCATGGGGAAATACATGGAAACTGTATTTTCTGTGCAATTTTTCTGTAAAACTAAAGACACCCTAAAAAATAAAGCCTACTAAAGAAAAAGAGAGAGAGAGAAAAGAAAGAAAGAAAAAGAAAGAGAGAAAGAGAGAGAGAGAGAGAGAGAGAGAGAGAGAAGAGAAAGAGAGAGAGAAAGAGAGAAAGAGAGAAAGAAAGAAAGAAAGAAAGAAAGAAAGAAAGAAAGAAAGAAAGAAAGAAAGAAAGAAAGAAAGAAAGAAAGAAAGAAAGAACGAAAGAAAGAAAGAAAGAAAGAAAGAAAGAAAGAAAGAAAGAAGTGGAAATATTGAGGAAGGTGCACAATTGTGATTTCTGGCTCCTTATCTGTAAATTAATGTAGCACACATGTGTGAAGGTATATGTTATATCTGTTACTCCCTTATTTATTGACTAGTCCTCATTTATATGTCCTAACTCCACAATTACATTTTAAAGTCTCTGAGGATTAGAACAGCATTTTAAGGCTCTTGTGTCATCTAATGAGCTGCCCATTATACATGATAGTAATTTATATCATGAAACATTAAATTTAAAAAAAATACATACACATTAGCTCACTTCAAACATGTATAGCTTAAATCTTTGTAAATTAACAAACTTAAAATAAATGCAATCAGATTTGAATTTACATATACGTAAGAGTAGAGCTACACCCAATAGTTAATCTGCATTATTACGGGTTAATTGTGTCCAGTGAAAATTCATATGTGGAAGTCCTATCCCCTAGTAACTCAGAGGGTGATCTTATTTGGAGAAAGGGTCACTGAAGATACAATTAAGGTGAGTTCATCGGGGGGGGGGGGCCCTAATCCAGCATGATTGATAGCCTCAGAACTGGGGAAATTTGGACTCAGAGACACACGTGGAGGGAAGATGATGTGCAGAGACACAGGGAGAAGACCGCCATCCACAAGCCAAGAAGAAAAGTCCAGAACAGGTCTTTCCCCCACGGCCCTCAGAAGGAAGCAGCACAGCCGACACCTTGATCTAGGTCTTCTAGTTTCCAGAACTGTGAGACAATATATCTCTGATGTTTAAGCCACTTTGTTATGGCAGCCCCAGCATACTAATGCTCAAATAGCTGGAAACATTTTAGCTCCAGAAAGAAGACTAAAATTTCTTTCATATGGATCTGTATTTTAATTCTATCACTTAATAGTTGTACAAAGCCTGGATAATGTCAGCATTAATAAATGGTAGCTATAATTATTGCTTTTATTACTATCTTTATATGTGCTAGGAAAAAATGCCAAGTATGTGGACTTTTGTCTTTATTGTTAGACTCAGGTATAAATGTATCTTTGTGACATATAATCAGCTGGTTTCATTAAAATGAGACATAAAAAGTATACGATTGTCTTGAAAAATTAATAAAAAGAAGGTTATTATAATATATGGTTAAGGTATCTTTATATTTAAAGAGTGAAATCAATTAAAAGATAAGTCTTGGCATGTAGACTTGATTACATAATTGATATAGTTACCACTTCCTATAAAATCAGCACTTTTGACAGAATGTGCTTTTTTGTCTGTCTTATAAATTCAGAGAAATCATTGGCAGTCTCTAGATGTGAATTATCAGAACATCACTCTTGTTAACATACACTTACCGGAGGCCCAGGAGGCCCGGGAAGACCACTGTCACCCTTCTGGCCAGCAGGCCCCTGTTTAAAAAGAAAAAGGGACAGGACATAAATAAAGAGCGAGGCAACTGAATAGGCTTCATTGAAAAATTAAAATGCCAAAGGGAAAATTACTTACAGTAGAGCCTTTGTTACCCTTTGGGCCTTGAGGACCCTAGAAAATGCAAAGGCAAAAGCACAGATAAAAATATGGAGCATATGTGTCTCTTTGGTATATTTGTAACTTAACTCTACCTTTCAAGAGTCTTTTGCTTTATACTTACTGGTAAGCCTGGAGGACCAGGTGGACCTATGGGACCAGCAGGACCTGAGATTCCCTAGAGAGAGAATCATGCAATTTAAAGAGTTTCCTTCAGCTGTTCCATTTTCGTGTTTGGCATTAGTTATGTTGAGAGCATCTGAAAGTACTTAAAAATAGCCTAAACATTTTCAATGGTGAATCCAAGGAAGAACTTTTGCAAAATCTAATTTTTTTTTCCCATTTTGCTGAAATGTCTATAATAAGCTTTTGTAATATACATATATGTGTATGTATGTATGTATGTGTGTGCGTGTATATATATCTCTATATTCCTGCAGCCTTCAGAATAATATTTACATGTGATGCATGTTCAGTACATGTTTGTGAAAGTAACTACTGAATTATAATTCCTAGATTAATCATATTTTTAATTTATATACTCTAAGGAACAATAAAAATCTCTTTTTAAAAATACCACTGACTTAAGCAGATTAAAATAAAGACTCTCAAAATTACTTCTCTGATCATGTTTAAAGAACAGTGTGCAAATGTGTGCTTGTGTGTTTGTGTGTGTGTGTGTGAGTTAAAACACCACTGACTTAAGCAGATTAAAATAAAGACTCTCAAAATTACTTCTCCGATCATGTTTAAAGAACAGTGTGCAAATGTGTGCTTGTGTGTTTGTGTGTGTGTGTGTGAGTGTGTGTGTGTGTGTGTGTGTATTACAAGAAGAGTAGGAAAAATGATCTATATTGTTACTCACCCCATCCCCCTTTGCTCCTGGAGATCCCTGAGTTCCAGGGAGTCCTCTGTCACCTTTCTCCCCTTGTTCTCCCGGAGGACCAATCAGGCCAATTAAACCAGGATGTCCCTTTGGAAGGCAGAGAAAAGAAATTTTAAATAATATCTAAATTACAGCATCATAAAATTCTAGTCATAGAATATTGGCAGGTTAACTTCATGATAAAAAACATTAAAATAACACTTTTGAATGGAATACAGGGTTAAGAAACTTCCCTCTTGTCACCTAAATGGATCATTTATTGCTTGCATTAAGTCAGGTCTTTATTAAGAGCTGGGCATTTTATGGAACAGAATGCTTTCTAAAAATGCCACCTTCAGTGTTTCATTTCAATAATTCACTCAACTAAAAGACCAGTAATTACCATATACAATATTGGTGAAATAAATAATTGAAACATTAAATCTCATTTAATATAAAATGATTTCTATTCTTCAGAGATTTTTCAGTCTTTAAAAAACATATGAAAATTTAAAAATAATCCAAACAATATTAATGCCATTCTAAACAAACATTTATATTCCTTATTTGGTTCAACTCAGCATAAATACTGATAGATCAAATTACTCTTTGAAAGATATTTCTAATTTAAAATTTTATTTCCATGTTTAAAAACATAAAAACGGGCATTTTGCTATTTCATCTGTTTATTTTGAATAGTTATTTTAGCAAAACTATATGCTTTCTTCATATGGTTCCTAAAAGGGACCATTGAGAAAACAACACTGAATTCTGGTATTTTTTCTATTACTTCGTATATTTTCTCTTTTCTAAATACATCTAGGAAGATGAGGATTGAAAGCTTTTTCCACAGCTAGAATGACAAAGATATTGTTTGAAATTTCCTTTTAAATAATTTTAATCTTCAAAAGTACTTGCCTCTGCTATAAATATATCAAAACTGTAATAACACACTCGTTAATTCTCACCTTCTCACCCTTGGAGCCGGGATCACCTTTGAGACCAGGTAAGCCAGGAGGTCCCTAAAAAATAGGACAAAATAATCATAGGTACAGTAGGTATGAGGAAGAGAGTCACATTACTAGTCACAGAGCTAGTTTAGATTTGGAAAAATAAAGTTCAAAAACAGGTAATGATCAGTGTTCATTTATTTTCCAGGATTCTCAATTTATTTTTCAGGGATCTTAATATTCTCGACCATAATATTAAACCATAATACTGATAATTTTGATTAAATAAATGTGAAATAGGACATGGTTTATATGGCTTTTCTTTGAGAAGAAAGTGTGAATTTTTAAATACACTGATTTTGAAGGGACTTCCAAATTACACATACATTCAATCAAATATTTCTATGCTAAACTCAAATTTCAAAAGCTACAATATCCTCAGTAAATTTTTTTAAAAATAACAAACTTTTGATAGTCAATTGATCTTTGATTACCATAGGAAAAAAATTAAACAAAGATTTTAATACACTGTTCTGTTTGTATTTAAATAACAACTATGTTTGTATATCTCAGACTTGTTCTACAGAACAAGTAGATGACTTCTATATATACTAACTTGAAACTGGGGCTCTGTAATTCTGCTAGGCTACGTCCAATTTTCTGAATTCTGATCTTAATTCTTATTTTTTTCTTTTGAAAATAGATGTCTTTTACTATATGTCCTGGAAATATATGGCACACTAAGAATATCTAATAATCTCAATAACATCTTGCATACATAAGATGCCACATAGTCTACAGAACTATCTTAATGATATATCTTTAATATTCACAACAATCCTGATGAAGTAGCTATTTGTGTCCTTTTTACTTTGTGAGAAACTGTGTGACTTAACTTTCAAGTACCAAAGCTGGGATTCCAACTCAGGACTATATTTCTAAGTGCAAAATTCTTTTACCATATGATATTGGACTCCTTAGAGTGATGGGAATTACCAAGGCGAAGATATTGCTACCTACTCAGGTAAGTAAACCAAAAAATATTCCAAGACACCAGTAAGGCAATTTAGAAAACTAGTAAAGAAGGCAAGTCTCTGAGGAAGTGAACTGATTTAGATTCTAAAAGTTTTGAGGGGGACAATCTATGCAGAAGACAAGAGACTGAGAGATGGCACCATTCATTGTGACTTGGCTGGCAGGGATTTGGAAAGAAAAAGAAATGCCAGTTTCTTGAATCTTGCATGTAAAATCCCTACTCATGAGACAGAAATGGCTTAGCAAATTATCACATGGAGGCATTTAATTTCCACTATATAATTATTTCAGAACCTACATTTGATGATTTTTTTTTTCTCTTAGTAATTTACTGCCACCAGAATGCTTGAAAATCAAGGATGCCAGAAAGATCAAAGGCATTGACCCCTTGAAGGACTGTAGGGACTACTCCATTGATTTGGTTTCTAGGTCACAGAACCAAGAGGACTGGTATAAGCTATTCCTGCTACAGATTCTCAAAAAATTTTAGGACTTAATGGAGCTTTAGAAATGACCAAATGTGGTACCATTCCTCTTTTTAACAAAGAAACAGATGTCCAGAAACATTAATTTGCAAGATCACAAAACTTGCCAATGGATAAAGCAAGGACTTGACCCCAAGTCTTATGACTTGACGCAATGTTGTTTCCACAAAAGATATTTTCTTCTTTTATCACCTTACAAAATATGAACATGAAGAGGTGAGGGCTTTTGTTTTGTTTTGTTTTGAGTAGTTAATTGGAGTTCACTCCAGGCTGCTCATTGGAATTGCACAAAATTTCATAAGTTTTTAAAATTCTTGTCATAGTTGGGGGTGTTAACCTTTTACTAATTACACTCCCAAGATGATAATATTAGCTGTACTTTTAAAATTTAATTTTATATCTAAATTATTTATAAATTTAAGAATAAATAAATTTACTTTTTTTCATATGAATATACCTCTACTCGAATAATTTAAACTGTTTGTAGTCCTAGTCTATAGCACATATTCATTTATGTTGTTATATTTTTATGAAAATTATGGCATGATTTAGTAACTGATCCTTAATCCTGCCCTCTCACCCATGGAAATATTAATATTGAAGACTTTAAAAAAAACTTTTTTGTCTACAAATTGGTATACTCCAACTTTGATGGTCACAAAAAATAAGGTTCTTGTTCTGAAATTAGGACAAATAAAACTATGAAGGCAACAGGAGCTGTCAGAAGAGTGATGACACTAAAAGATGATTTATATGAATGTGACGCAGGAAATTAGGGCCAAGACCGTTTAGATAGGTTGCTACTGCCCGCAACAAGCAAGGTACCAAACAACAAAGACAAACTATTCATATGGTTCTTCTATGAGTTTGGATTTTGTTTGAGTGAAGTGAATTATTTGAATTATAATTTCAACATTTTTTTAATTATGGTATTTAAAAAGCAAATTGTTTTCACTATCACCAAACTACATCATGAGTCATCACTATCGCATCTTCTGCTAGGCCACCATGAGTAATTTTTTCACCTTAGCGAGTTGATTCTTCAGTGTCAAAGAGGACATTATATCCCAGTCCAAAATTTTTGTGAATTTAAAGTATTAAGAGCTATGGATCTGATCCAAGCAGTGTGATGTAGTATGAAAAATATGGGTTTGCAATAATATAGACATAGCATAGAAACTAGTCTCTTGTAGTTTCAATTTATTTTGTTTTATTTTATTTATTTAAAAAAAGATGAGCGGTAAGGGGATCCTAACTGTTGACTTGGTGTTGTCAGCACCACGCTCACCCAACGAGCTAACCGGCCATCCATACATGGGATCCGAACCTGTGGCCTTGGTGTTATCAGCACCGCACTCCCCCGAGTGAGCCACGGGCCGGGCCTTGTAGTAGCAATTTCAATCAGCTAAAGAAAGAGAGCTTTGATTTTCTCATCTGTAAGCTGAGGACTGCATTTCCTATTTCATGGGGCTGCTGCAAGAATGAGTAGATGATCCTTTCTATTCTTTAGTTTCTAAAGACTACTCCTTGAAATGAAATTCCGAATATCAGAGGAGAGTAAGAATAGTGTCGATATAAATTAGCCCTTGTGTAACAATAGTATTTTGGGCTATTATTAGATATATTTGTATTTGTTTCAATTCATGAATGAATTTGAAATTCTCTAATAACTGATATGGACAATTTCCCTCATCATTTTATTAATAACAGACAAAAAGTATTTTCATAAGGATGTGCAGTTTTAAGTGTGGATATGCCTAACAATATTCTCCTGATAAGGACAAAAGTTATTAGTCCTCAGACATAAATTTATGTAAATTTAGTTAAATTCTTTTTTGTATACAAATAAACAATCATGTTGCTTTGTTAAACCTAAAACAGATAAAATGGAGACAATAAAGAAATTCGCAAATTCTCATTTAAATATATCTTAAGAGTGGATTTTAACACGAGACTCTCATCTAGTTTAGAATCCCTATGGCAGTGGATCTCAAAGTGTGGTCCTTTGACAAGCAGCATTGGCATCATCTGTGAATTTGCTAGAAAGCATAGGCTTAACCCACACCCAGATCAACTGAAACAGAAATTGTGGGTAAGCCCAGCAAGCTGTCATAGATCTGATGCTCATGAAGTTATAAGAAAAATGGCTCTGTGATACCAGGTCCCAAATCCAGTTAAATCAATATGCAAACCAGAGCAGCATAATGGATCATGTTTATGCTGAAATAAAAACATTACCTATTTGTTCCTGTTAGTTTAATAATTTTATAACTAAAGCAATATGTTTTGCATCTACTTTTTCTGGTTTCATCACAAATGTCTGGTGACTCATCAATTTAGAAAAGACAGTAATGTTGCCCAACATCATATTTTTGAATAAATAATATAAATGAGTAATGGAAATAATCAAATAATTTTTGAGATCATGTCACTATCCAGGTAGATGTCAAAGATTCCGTATGTTAAAATAAGGTGGCATAAAACTGCATTGGAAAATAGTTCTAATAAAAATGTTAATTGTGTTAAAAGACCAAGTACTTGTAGCAGTAGCAGAAACCATTTAAGAATACAGACTGAATTTGAGATATGTAAGTTAAAAATCTCTAGATTAAAATTCTCTATATTACAAATATGAAACTATTTCAAGAGGCCAGACTTTTCTCATTTTTTAGTTCTCTTTTTTTATTCAAAATCTCTCAGCATGTTATACACTTACAAAAATTTTGATATAACTGGGAGAACTGATAGAGCTTGCTGGGCGTCAATATTTCAATTACTGTTTCGCTTGAAGAGTTTCAAGTCTACATCTTATCAGTTGGATTATCTTGGATCTATCAGTTATTATCTCAGAGTTTATTTTATAAACAGTATTCTAAAAATAACAACTGACATAATGTGATAATGAAAGAAAAACCAGGCTTACAAAAAACTGCATAAATGGTAAAGCATAACACAAATGTTAAATATTATTAGTTTTATATATGCTACAGGTGGATACCTATCAACTTTCTCACCCCAGTCTAATAGTAAAAGCTAATGTGTCAAAAAAGAAGAAATCCTAGTAATTATAATTGTTCAGGCTTAATGAGAAATATACTAGAAACTATTTGTGTTTTAAATGCATTTTAATCCTTTCTATGAGTATCATTCACAAAGGAGTTAGAGGTAATAAGTATTAATCCCTCTAAACTATCTCTCATGAAATTACAAACTATATCTCAAAATAAATTTGCCAAGTAAAATAAGTTTCTTATTTTCATCACATGGACATAAGAATTCGTAACATTGTGATGTTGAGATAGTTATAAATAATCCTCTGAACTTGGAACAGATCAAAAACACCAACTTTGCATATAAAAATGTTATTCCAAGTATACATATTTTCTGTTTCCTTTTTATGATATTGTAAATTGAAAGCCTTTAGGGAAATACATAATTCTTAAGTAATAAAGTGAAAAGGAAAACAGGGACAATACATTCTTAAGTATATAGAACACATAAGCATTTCCCCCTGCTTTAAGTAATATTTGTTTTGATCTTCACCTCAGAACTCTAACGCATTGAAGTTTAAAGAAACTTCATATCTTACACTTTAATTAGGAGACAAAAATGTAAAATGTTTAATTTGGCGAAAAGTAAATGCTTTGTTATTTAAACTTATTTAATCATTATGAAATACTACACATCTCAACCCTGTTTACAGATTGATCAAATGCATAATTAAAGAAAAAAATCAAACTGTAATTCAGCAACCCATCCTACCCTTTATTCAGGCTTTTGTGGTTTGAAAAATAATGCTATCAGATATTTTATTTATCACTGTGAAAAAAAGGAATGTATAACAATGCTAAGGTAAACTTCTCCAAAGATAAATACTGAATAATTTTAACAACCTATTTGCTTCAGTGTAGCTGAAACATTATTCAGTATTTGGAAAAACAGGTTCATAAAAGAAAAGAATATGAAACAAGACAAAATAAAAGCTTAAAATGTAAACAGATGTAATTCTGCCTGCCAAAAATCATATAAATATTAGTTTCACAAAATATGAAATCTTGTTAATTTTTACCTTGTAGCACAGGGCAGAATTTAGCCATCTTTACTCTTCTCTTTAAAACACTCAGTCTAATTCCCATTTAATGTTTGTTGACTACTCAAGAAACCAGCAGTTCCACTTTAAAAAACTCTAATAGAATTCTTCATACAGGCCCATCATTGTCCTTAGCTTTCCATTAGTTCCCACATGTATTCCTCAGTTCCATCTGGTGATTCTAAATGTATGTGTGTGTGTGTGTGTGTGTGTGTGTGTGTAATTTATGCATATACCAAATTTAACCTGATTTTTACTATGAGAAATACCTAACGTTTTTTTTTTTTGTCTTTTTTGTGACTGGTAAAGGGATCGCAACCCTTGGCTAGGTGTCGTCCGCACCACGCTCAGACAGTGAGTGCACTGGCCATCCCTATATAGGATCCGAACCCGCGGCAGGAGCGCCACTGCGCTCCCAGTGCCACACTCTCCCGAGTGCGCCACAGGGTCGGCCCAGAAATACCTAACTTTTAAAGTAAAAAATAAATACCATACCATATCTGAACTCTAGTAGAGCTGATAACATAGAGTAGGAAGATACCAAGCAAAAAACACTTTTAGAGTTTTAAAATATATGTTTGTTTCACTTGTGTGTGTGTGTGTGTGTGTGTGTGTGTGTATAATTTATGCATATACCAAATTTAACCTGATTTTTACTATGAGAAATACCTAACGTTTTTTTATGTGTGTGTGTGTGTGTGTGTGTGTGTGTGTGTGTGTGTAATTTATGCATATACCAAATTTAACCTGATTTTTACTATGAGAAATACCTAACGTTTTTTTTTTTTGTCTTTTTTGTGACTGGTAAAGGGATCGCAACCCTTGGCTAGGTGTCGTCCGCACCACGCTCAGACAGTGAGTGCACTGGCCATCCCTATATAGGATCCGAACCCGCGGCAGGAGCGCCACTGCGCTCCCAGTGCCACACTCTCCCGAGTGCGCCACAGGGTCGGCCCAGAAATACCTAACTTTTAAAGTAAAAAATAAATACCATACCATATCTGAACTCTAGTAGAGCTGATAACATAGAGTAGGAAGATACCAAGCAAAAAACACTTTTAGAGTTTTAAAATATATGTTTGTTTCACTTTATCCCAAAGAATTTCACCTCTAGGTGGTTCCTATAAAATTGTTAAACTGTTATCTACCTGGATGCTCTGTTAGGTAGACATCAATTGTCTAATTAGGTAGCTGCCAGTCTGGAAAGATGAAAGCAGGTGAGTTGTACTTACTGAACAGCTAAGTTATATTTACAAGTTGAGGAAAACGGGACTGTCTTAGTAGTTCTGTCTGACCAGTGCAACGCTATAGTAGGAAGTTATAGGCAGCTTCTGGAAGGGGAAAAGTGACCCAATTGGTAGTTGTGGAACTCTAGTGATAAGAAAACGGAAGCCTGCATAGACTTGGATGTGGGTGTGAATATATTTACAATGAGAAAAAAACTCATTACAGAGAAAGTATTATTCATATAAATTTCACATGGATTAATTGCAGAGATTAATGCAAACTTGTACCAGTTTTCAAATCTCTGTTAGCCTCACCTCCCACATCTCTCCACACTTAAGCTTCTCTTTTCCTTCTTTAATAATCAGGAGATGACATTTAAATATCCTACTCTGAGTATGCCTAGCATCCTCTGCTTGGACTTACACCATGTTCTAACTACTGCACTTGTCGATCTCCCCCGTTTGCTTTAACAGCCAACAACTTGCAACAGGTTAACCGATGATACACACGCACAATTATGTCAAATTTAGTTAGATTTCACTAAGAATATGAAATTGATTGTTTTTCAAAATATTTATCATTATTTCATTCATTTAATAATTCTGTATTCAGTGCTGCTAGTGTCAGTTAATGGTCTACATGCTTTACAAATAAGAACCCCATGGGTTAGAAGATATTAATAATCCAGGATAACTCATTTAAACTTTATAACATCTAATGGGATAAATGCTATAAATATTTCCATTTTACAAATATAGAACCTAAATCTAAAAATAAAAAAATAATTAAAAGTGTGAGTGCTGGTTTTTGAGGTCAGTTTGGCTCTAGAGTCAAGTACATTAACCAGTAACCACGATAAGCTACTTCTCACTGATTAAAAATTTACCTTCTAAAACAAATCTTTCTTAGCTGAGTGGATAAGCTCATTAATTTGCCATAAATAGCATTCTGAAGATAATTTTTTCCACCCTCACCTCATGAGGACCAAGTGACATTTTCATTGAGATTAGATATCACAGTCAAGACTAACTGAAGCTATGAAAAAGCTACATCACATTCATGTTGCAAGTACTCTCCTATGAAAGAAGCAGCCAGAGAATGGGCTGCTTACCATTTCCCTTTGCTTAACAGGGCTTGAGTTGTTCAGCCCTCCTGTGCTGTAAACTCACTTGTACTTACGAGTCAGCAATACAAACTTTTGCAAGCTGCAATCAGATGGTATGTCTGATGGTTTTATTTTTAATATTAGCTAAAGGAAATCTCCAGTGTGGTACTTTTTATTTCATCTGCAGAAAGGTCAAAATACTTATTGGAAAATCTGAAATAACAAAAAAAAAATCTCTGGCAAATTTTAGGGTGACCTTAAGACACAAAATGTTTTTTTCCAAGCTCTGACTCTGTGCAGTTAGGAGTTGACCATATGTAAAGACAATATTCCCTAGAAAGTGGTGCAGACATGGAGCCCATCTTGCTTCAACCAGGCCCTGTTCCCATGCAGATGAGATAATGTTCAGAGCTGATGATCTCCTGATTGAAGTCTTATAAAAATTCAATAACTTTTAACCAGTTAATAAATAAATGATCTTTAACTTCTCCTAGCTTAAAAGAAATCTCTTCAACACTTATGAAATACTTGGTAGGTGTGCTAAAGGAAATTGTTGTGCCATCTTTATTAAAAGGAAGAGCCAAATTTCATTCTGAATAATTAGGATTGTGAATCCTAGTTTGGATGGCTTTCTGAGTATGTATATATCTGAGATAATTAATATAAGCATGATGAAAGGTATTTGCATAAAGCTTAAATTACCATATGCAGTTGACTATTTTAACCAATATGCATCACTTTTGTAGAGTGCTATATGCATGGTTTGTTGTTTTGATTGATGCATTTATACATAACTATTTTTGGACAATGAATTTTAAATATTGTTAGTGTTAAACAGAATCTGTTTATAAAGCAAACAAAATAGCTAGTAAGCAATGATTTTACAAGGCAAGTCTTTTATTCTCACTTTTTGCCCAGATTTTGTAGCAAGGATAGCCTTGGATTCTATAATAAATTCCATCTATAAATAGTATGCTGGTCAACTAAATCCTTTATTGTTTCTCAAGCATGTTGTTTGCACATAGAGTTTATCATAGTAATCAAGCTTCAGTATTGTAACAATCATATCTTTCTTCACTATTGGGATTTAGTGTTTTATCTTACACCCTGCATGACTCATGAAGAGAACAATTTATTTTGACAAAAAAATCACTATGTGCCTGTGCCAACATTACTCTTTTAAATGAAGTGCCAAGAAACTAAGTTTAATTGCATGCATTTTAGGGAACTGTACATACTAGGAAAAGGACTGGCTGGACCATTAGTGGCATTTTATTCAGAATGGAAATCATTTTTTTTCATCCAAAGAGTATAAGTAATGAAAGATCTTGTGATCAAGTGGCATATTTTCCATATACTTATCAGTTAGGATTATTTTTCTCTTTATAAAGTCTCAGTAATATATTTCCTTTCATATCGTACAAAATGTAAACCAAATTATAAGCTAAATTTTCAGAGATTCTAGCTTATAATAATTTGTTTTGGGAATTCTCTCTTTTTAAATAATGGAAAAGATGCTACTCACCATAGGACCAGGTGGTCCATCTTGGCCTGCAGCTCCAGGGAGACCTTGTTCTCCCTACAGAAAATAAAAATGATTGATTTTTTTTATTTAAAAAGTATACATTTATTTTTCTTTTTTAAAATTTTGGAAATACAAAAAGGAAAAAAACATCCAACACCTATGAGTTCCACCAAATAGAGAACATCTACAAATACTGCAAGCAATTTTTCTGTCCTTTTACTGTGTGTGTAACACACACATAGTATATCATAAACACACGTGCATATATATGTGTGTATATATATGAATGCGTACGTGTATGTGTAAAATTTTTACGACATTGAGATCTTAGGGTTTGGTTTTTTATTCTGCCTTTATACGTTATAATTTCACCATGACTTATTAAATAAATGACATTTTAAAATTTTAAGAGTCTCTGACTTTACTGCATAATATTTACTTGAATTCCCATAAAAACATCTGCACAACTTATGAAATAATTCTGATGTAAACATTTCATTTATAGTTTTTTTATAAATAAAATGCTGTTCTCAAATAGCATCTTTTAGCACAGATGCTCACCACAGGGCCAGGGATGCCCCGAAGACCTTCTGGACCAGGCTTTCCGGCTGGTCCTTGAGGACCGACTGGGCTGATGTAAACATTTCATTTATAGTTTTTTTATAAATAAAATGCTGTTCTCAAATAGCATCTTTTAGCACAGATGCTCACCACAGGACCAGGGATGCCCCGAAGACCTTCTGGACCAGGCTTTCCGGCTGGTCCTTGAGGACCGACTGGGCCAGTTTTTCCAGGAGGACCTTCAGCACCTGCTTCTCCCTGTTAGAAAATAAAATATGTGAACACGTTACTAATGAGAAAAGATATTTTAACTATTTATTAAATGTACTGAAATAAATGTTCAATGTATGTATGAGATTTTCCGACCTAATACCAATTAATATATATTTTACCTTAGCACCTTTTTCCCCTTGTCTTCCCTCTGAACCGGCAGCTCCAGGAGGACCCTATGAACATAAAATTTCATTAAGTATGTATCACATACAAGTAATGCAACTGAGAACTTATTTGCAAATGCTTAATTTAATTTTTAACAAATGTTAATAAATTGTGATAGCTATCAGTATTTGTTTTAAAACACAATGAGGAAAAGCAAAACCCTTTTTATGTACAAACTTCCACTTAGAATATTAAAAATAAAGCACAGATTGAGGTAATTAGAACGCACCAGCATAAGGAAACTGTAAAAATAAAGTTTTTAAAGAAATGCTGATGATCTAAAAGTCTTCCTATTGCATTAGATATTCATATATCATTTATTATGTTGTGTTATTAGGAATTAATTGAATGTATCAAATTTCAGTTCCATCCTTACATGTATTTTAAGAGTGGTCCCTTTCTTAATCTTAGTACGTCCATTCATTCCTAAAAATCATGTTCCAACTAAAGAAACACAATATTTAAAATTGTGATGGTCAACAGATACAGTATTTTCAGGCTCTAGAACTATGTACTTCACATAAATAATTAGTATTAAAAAATAACATCACTTTTTTAAAGCCCAATATTAGAGCAAAAATAGAAAAAAAATGTTTACACTAAAGATGTTTTCCAAAAGCATAATTAAGCAAGATTTTTTAAAAACTTAATGATCTCTAAGACATTGCTTTTCATTTTTCTCACAGACCCTCTTGTTTTCCCTTTGTTTCCTTCAATTTTTGCAATGAATTGTGCTCAAAATCATTAACTGAGATTGGTTTGGAGGTTGGAAAGAGTAGTCCCACTGGGTTTAATCAGCGAGTATAAGGTGACACAGGAGGATGCCTTTCTCTTTTTCAGATGCTATATTAATATTCTAATGGTGAATACATACCAGCCTTTCATACAGTCTTTAAAATTTACATTTAAAACTTCGACTACTTCAGCAAATTCAGTAAATTCCATGAACTCTTTTCCATCTCTGAGAGTCAATGAAGACATCATAAGTAATATTTTCTGAATGTTATCACAGTTACTTCATCTATTAATAGACTTTCATTGTACCTCAACTCAAAGAAATATGAAAATTTTATAAGTAGTTTCTTGAGGCAGCAAGAATATGCTGATAAAAATATATACGTTAAAACTTCAAAGTGCGTCTTTTTAATTTCATATTATTCATGTAAGAGAATTTTTGTATTAAAGCATAAACTTCAAATTTTTCCTAGTTTTAAAATGTTGAGCTATAAATTATTTTGGTGGGATATTTAAAATATTAACCTATGCAAAGTAGATAAAACAACCATATGAATATTATTTTTAATACAGACATAATGAAATTCAATTAATTTGTTTTCCCTCTTCCAAGAAGCTTTTTTCCTCAAACTAGTGATATAAAGATATGTAGTATTAATCTCCAAAGATTGCATTTACACACATGAACTTAATTGTAGAAAAAGATTTATCAGTATCTGGCTTTTAAAAACATCAAGCTACTCACTGTCTAAAACCAACAAAAATATCATCTTTCCTCTAAGGGAAAAGAAAATCTGAGTTTGAAGAGGCTAGAGAATTTTAACACCAACTAAATTCCACACAGCCACAAAATTGTGATTAAAATAAAGGGTTTCTCCACCGCCAAAGGATTTTTTCTCTCTGTGAACAAATATCTATCATGGTGGAAATCCTTACTAAATGACTTTGTTCTGTTCTTTTTCTCACTTTTTCCATTTTTATTTATTCCATATTTTTTTTCTAGATGGCAAATAACTTTTTACTTTTTAAGAAAAACTAGGATGAAAGCAGATACACATTTTCTAGGAAAGAAGGAAGCTTCCTTTGCAAAAAAAACTCAACGCCTACGGTGGTTTTAATGCCATCTCCCCAAAAGCATGTATTGAAAACTTAATCTCCAATGCAACATTGTTGGGAGGTGGAGCCTAGTGGAATATGTTTTGGTCAAGAGGACTCCGCCTTCATGAATGGATTAATGTAAATTCTAAAAGCTGGCTTACAAACATGTTTTCTCTCTTCCTTTCTCTGCCTTTCTACTACAGATGATACAGCACAAAAACCAGATGCTGGCCCCTCAGTTTTGGACTTTCCAGCCTCCAGTACTGTGAGCCAATAAATTTCTGTTCATTATAAATTACCCAGTCTGTGGAATTCTTTTACACCAGCACAAAACATACCAAGGCAATGACTATGGACAAATTCTTGTCTGAGTCATTTATATCTCATATGTTTGCATAAACAGAGAGGCAAGGACCTGATCTAGTGAGCGAGTTGCTGTACTTTTATAAAGTAATGAGTGTTCTGATTGGAAAATCCCTCATAAAAACATGACACAATAAAACAGGCCCCAGTTAATTCTCCACCAGTAGTCACAGAACAGATCTTCCTACCCATGAGAAATATAATTCATATAAAATATCTAATATAATCCTCTTTCCACTATTCATGTTTTACAATATTATTCTATAATTTGAGCATTCTTCAGAGATGTTTAAACACTATGTTCCAGAAATGAGCCATGTATGGAGAATGCAAATAAAAAAACCCAAAACAGAAACCCTAAGGAGTAAATGGACTAAAAGGCAGTAGATTTTAAGGCAATTTTCATTCAACCATATCATAAGCCTTTTGATGGGATATTACAATTATTACATAAGAATATGCTCTTGCTATTTTCACAAAGGTGATATTAAATTGAGTACTGCATGAAACATTGCTGCCTGTTGACTAAACACAATAGTTCATGGAGACAGAATCCTCAATTCAGTTTCAGTTTGTAGAATTCACTCAGCACTGTACCTCTCTAGGATTAGATGATTTCTGTCTTCCCATTTTATAAAAAAAGTGACCTCACGTACGTACAGTGTATAAACACAGTGATCTCACATATGTACAGTACTTTTACATTTCCAAATACTTTCTTCTCCATTAACTCTAAGTTAATCACTTTATTATTCATCAGACTCTAAGTTAATCACTTTTTATTATTCATCAGACTGGTCCTAAATCTCTGTCGTTTGGCAAATTTTTAATTTTATTAAAAATTATATGTAGTTGTCTTGAATTTAAACACTCCCTTTTTTGGCAATAGTTCTCACAGGAAATTCCTTTACCATAAGTGTTGCATGAATTTCAACCAATAAATAAATAAATATAAATAAGTATATATTGTAATAGAGTCACATTGTATATTAAATGCAGTTAATCAATATTTGTAGACTTTTTATGTTCATCATCACCCAGTTAGTTCAGTACTGATCACTATAAAACTCCAATGACAAAGCAAAATTCAACAATGAACGAAACTAAGTCTACTATAAAGTGACTATGAATTTATCACTAATAAACTTCCCTTTCACTTACACAACTGGAAAATTAGAAGAGAATGTTTTATTATTTCTGTTACCTATATATTATACTTAATAACATGTTTATTTAATTTATAAATAATGCCATAATTTAAAGCCCTTAATCAATGCTTAATAATAGCATCCAATCTTTGAGCTGCTCATAACTCCAGGCCTTAGGCTTGGTGCTTCATATATGCATTTCATTAATTTAGTCCTCACTCACTTCAGCACTGAAAATTTGTTATTATGCCCACTTTATAAATTGGAAAACTGAGAGTCAAAGAAATTAATGTGTCACAAGTCACAATTTAGGTAGGAAAAAAAGGATCTGAGACCAGTTCCATCTGATTCTAATGCAAAAGCATTCTGGAGTCCTTTGTGCTGACATTAATATCTGAAAAGTGTCAGTTTACAGTTGTAAAAGGCCTTAGTCAATAATTTGTATTTCAATTTTTTTTTTTTTTAGTGAAACCACCTATTTGCTTAGGCTAAGGTAGAGCTCTTGATTAAACTAACTAGTTTGGTTGGCTATAATTTAAAATTGTTCAAGCATTAATTATAGTTTTAGTAATAAGATTTCTGACAGAGTAATTTCTCACACCTTAAAATATATTTTACACTGCTGAAGAAAATAGATTACTGTGTAAAACAGATAAAGCTAATTAAGCATGTCAGTTTATCCGAACCTAATATAGGAATCAATTTAACACACTGTGTTAAATAGCTTTGATTTGATAACAATGTAATGGTTTAAAAGAGAAAAACCTGTATATTTTTGCTCAATTGTGCTGACTTAAGATTGATTTTTCTGCTATCTCAAAATGGATGTGAATAGCTTTGCAAGCAATGGATACTCATCATAGTTCTCATGTCATTAATAATTCATGAATACAAAGCCTTCTAATTTGGTTTACAAAGTGACTAGAATGGATTAAAACCAGCGCATCATGCTTGTATAAATTGTTACTTAAAATGAGAGGATAGAACCTACCTAAATTTTTGATGAGATTATTTTAAAATGATTCATCAAAAATAGAAAAGACAGAATTGCACTAAAGTACTTTCTATTAATATTAAATAAATATATATAAGGGCTGGCAAGTTAGCTCAGTGGGTTAGAGCATGATGTTGTGACACCAAGGTCAAGGGTTTGGATCCCTGTATCAGTGGGCCAACAGACCAAAAAATAAAAATTAAAATAATTTAAAAAATATGTATATGTAATGCAGGAAATAACTTAGTTAAATATTTTATTATCTTAGGTTCTCAACATATAAATATATTACACAATATAGCGCAAATCAGTGACTTAGAAACTTCCTACATGACATTTGTAAATATTGCAATCCACTTTTTCCCACACAAGTAACTATCATCCTAAATTTTTGTTTATCATTGCCTTACCTTTCTTTAGCATTTTAATCACTTGTGTGTGAATGCTAAGCATGTTTTAATTTTTTTTGCATATTATAGATATGAAATCATCTAATATGTCTTTTCTAGTTCAACATTATATGTACATATTCACACTATCTATACACACACACACATATATTCTGCTTAATATTAGGTTTTTGAGATTCATCTATGTTGATTCATGCATATGTGATGCATTCATTTTCATTGCCATATAATTATTTTAGTTTATGAATATACCTCAATGCATTTGTCTTTTCTACAGTTGTTACTATGAACAAGAAGGATATGAGAATTCTTATACGTGTCACTTGGTGAATATGTGCAAGACACCATCTAGGATATGTGCTTAGAAATGGAATTACCAGATGGTAGGAAATCTTCTAGTTAGATTCTACTATGTAACTATTTCCCTAAATCCATTGTACCAATTAACTCACAATAACTGAGTATGATCATCCAAATTGCTGTTTGAAAACATCCTTTCCAATACTCATTTTGTCATAGTAAATTTTTGTCAATTGTTGGATATGGGATGGTATCTCCATGTGATTTTTAGAACATATTTCCCTGATTTTCACAAACATCTTTCATGTATTTGTGGATCATTTGTGTCAAATATATTTTCATACCTTTTGCAGATTTTTTCTATTAGATTTTTCTGTCTTCTTAATTTGTAAAAAATGCTTAGATATTCTGGAAAATTACACTTTGCAAGTTTTCTCTCTGTTAGAAATATTTTCTTCCAATTGGATCTTTTTCTTTTCAATGTCTTTTCAGCATTTTTGGATAAACAGAAAATGTTAACTGTAGTATATTCGCTACATCAATCTTTTCCTTTCTGGTCATAACTATGTTAGCAGAATTTGTTACTGGAGGTCAAAAATTAATTCTCCAATAATTTTTGCTAAAAATTCCAAAGCTTATCTTTCACATTTATTATTATAAGTCAACTGAAATTGAGTTTGTGAAAGGAGATAGGTAAGGTCTATTTCACTTTTTTCCATATAGAAAACCAAATCTTCCAGCACAATTTATTCAATAATCTATCCATTTTTCCATTGATGTGCAATGTCCTATTGGTCACTAAGGAAGTTTTTATATATACCCTTGGGTCTCTTCTGAGGTTTTCTTCAATGAAAGCATTACCTATATTTCTATATAAAAATTCAGTTATAACTTTGCAAATGCATGATCTTAATTCCTTATTTTCTACCCATCTCATTGATGCACTTACACATTTTTATTTATTCAAGATTTTTTATTCCTTTTAATAGGAAGAGTTAATCAGGTTGTTTAGACAGAAATACTTGCCAGAAAGGGAGTGATGTGATTTTTCTCTTTTCTAATTATATCTGATATTTAAGTCTAAAGAAGATATTTACCAATTGCTTGCAATTTACCATTTTACCAATACCATGTAATCTTTAATTTTGGATGAAAAAAAATCATTGGTCATGCTTCATGTTCTTAAAACAACAAATACATTTTTTGAGTGTACACTATATAATCATTGATATACTATTAATATATTGTATTTTATTATAAGTAAGTATCTTAATGTATAAAAATACATCCTTATTCTCATTATAAAGAGAAAGGAATTAGGAATCAAAGATTAACTACATTCTTAGATTACATCTCAATTAAGTAGCCAATACTAGGATGCAACTCAGGTGTGAATGAACAAGAATGCAAATAGTTGGGCTTTCCACTACACAACATCGCCTCAGCATCGTAGAATAAAGGTATAATTTACATCTCTGTCTACGTGCTGACTTTTCTATGACATTTTCTCAATTCTAGGATTGGATGGAAGTCTTTCTAAAAATGTGTTATTCATTCAAATTATAATTGTTTATAATTACTCGCTCCAAAGTATTAAACACAAATACTTAAAAAAATCCCTTATAATAAAAATGAAAAGCTTGTTACATTATATTACCAAGATTTAAAAATGAGTAAATATGAATAGAAAAATTTTGAAAGTTTATTTATAGTATCAATATTGTCAACATTAACTATTAATCAAAAATATTGTTTTACATAATAGCTTAATAATCTTAAAATATGATATTTTTTCTATATTATAGTTAAGTTATACATATATAAATACAGATATAAATTTTGGTTCAAATTATTAACGCAAAAGGGCATGTGATATACTGGTTCACAGCTATGTCTTCCTTTTAAAAAATTTATTAATATTCTCAAGTAAATTGTTTTTATTCATTTACTTTTAAAAAAAAATTTGATAGTATTCAATTGTTTTCAAAATGAATAATTCACTTTTCCTACCACTGTATGGCTAAAGAAACTAATTCATTCCAAAACTGTCACATTAAGATAATTCATCCCAAATATCAAATGGTAATTAATTAAATTCATAAAAAATTGTAAATGAGGAATTTGTGTAACATATTTTAAAATGATACTAAACTGTATAGCACTTGCTGAGAGTTTGCCTTGAAAAATGGAATGAGCCGAGAAGCTGCCTATATATAATAAAATATTCAAAATAGATTTTGTTAGTCTCTCCTTTTAAAGTACCTACCACAATTTGAAGGAAGGTTTAATTCCCTCTTTATCAAAAGTACCATGATTTATATTTGTATGATCACGATCCTTGTGCTCAATATTTAACAACTATTTCAAAATGAAGAGCTAACACACTAAAAGTTATTATGTAAGCATTTATCATAATTACAGTATTATACGAGTTATCTTTTGTTTGGCACAATTCTAGGCAGTAGATACCCTGAGAAACAGAAGGGATAAGTAAGTTGCCCAAAGTGATACAAGTAATAAGCAGGAGAGCTGCGTTAAAAGCCAGGTAGTATGACTTCATTGACCTATTAACCACCACTTTATAGGTCGTCCTATCGTTGGAAGCTGGGAGAAAGAAAAAAACAATTTCACGTTTTCTCAAGAAAGATTTCAACCCATTCTCAAGAATTTTCATATAATTATTCTTCCAAAAGGTCATAAATAATAGAAAAAAAAAAACTACTCATTTGATAGTTTTAGGAGTAGTCACACTACAAGCAGAAACAGGCAATAGATCTCAAAAATAATGTTACACTTTGTAATTCCTTTCTGAGAATAATAGATCAGTGGTTGTTTTGGAATAAATTTATTTCTTCTAAGATTGTGCTTTGGGGTTGTAGGCACAGAAATAATAATAAGAGGTAAAATAAAAAGGTGTGTGGCCAATGAAGAGTAAATTGTATTCAGAAAAAATATTTATTATAAATTAAATTCATTCTGGCAAAGAGAAATGTTTGCTTGTAAACAGTAACAAATTTGTGTTGCTGAGAGATAAAAGTGAAACCCATTAACATTCAATATACAATAGGAGGATACTTAGTGTGAAAAATCTCCCGAAAATAAAGTTACCATTAGAAAATAGCAGTGGCCCCAGCTGCTCTGTGACTTAGAATAATTGAAGAAAGAATCAGCCTAAGAAATGTATTTTGGTGATTACCACATACTTTTTTTCATGGATAGGTTGAAAAATAGACTAGAGGAGATGCAGGAGAACACTATGGAGGTGCTGTAGAGATTACAGAGATTATGCTATTATGAAAATAGTACAACAGTCATAAAAGAACAGTAAAGTAAATTTCCTAGGGTTTCCTGTAGCCAATATTTTGAACAATACCTACTCATTTATATTTTGCTATAGCCCTTCATTAAAGTCTTTTCTCCAAGTCAGAGAAGCTTGACAATGTAAAGCAATTTAACATTATGTACTGAGTCTTGAGCTCATTCTATTGATACTGCATTCAGATATTTTTACAATGTTTTAAGCTAGCACTGGACTTTTGGCATCTTGTCCCCATGTGTTACACTGAGATCTGAAGCTGAGAGTACCACTGGAGTCTTTTATAACAGTCTATTACATTTTTACAGAGGGGAAATCTAAGCATAGAAAAGTAGAAAACTTCATAAATAGGAGCTGTTTTTTTTTAAAAAAAATTATTGTGACAGTGAAATGGTTAAAATGTGCTCTATTTTAGTAAATATTTTAACACACATATGAAATTGTTCTCTAGTACTTAAATTTTTTAGCATTCTTATAACATTATATAACTTTATACATATGGTAAATAATGAGTGTATGTTTCAAATAAAGAATTAAAGAAACTCACTCTTTTTCCAGGAGGACCTGGTGGGCCAGCCTCACCAGATGGACCAGGAGGACCCTGTGAAATGTAAAAAATACCTTTTAAGGAATTGGATATTGTGTTATGACCTACATATTTTTTCAAAATCTGAACTGAAGCCAACCTTCTTTCTTCATTTCCACACATCTGTCTTTCCTGTAAAATCTCAGTCCTGCTTCAGATACCTACACTTCCTCTACTTATCTACAGTTACAGCTGGTAAATTTATATGGTAAAACTCTTCATAGTTAAAAGAGAGCGAATCAAATTTCTTGTATGTAAAACTGTGTCCTTTTAAAAAGCACTGATTTATATATGGTAAGCACCCAAAGGACATGCTAATTAATAGAATCATAAGGTTAGTAATTCTACTGTCACATAAATTTGTGAAACCAAAATACTATTACCTCTAAATTTTTTCTTGTACAACACTAGTGTTTTTATGCCAAGGTGTACACCACATGCTGGGAGATGAAGCACATGCCTTATCTTCACAGAATAAGCCTAAGTTTGACTGTAAATATCCACTGAGGGTGGCTCTAGAGACAAAATTGTGTTAGGGTGCAGTTGTTTTTGGCTCCTACTTAAGTTAGTACCTCCCTTACTACCACATGTGGCCAAAGCACACTTGTGTGTCAATCCTAAATTGGGGGCGGGGACAAGGCCCATACTGACTTTAAGTTTACAATTGAAATAATTTATGCTAATGATAGGCTAATAACTTGGCTTTCTTCCTTTCAGTCTTATTTTTACATTTTTTTTATTTAACACCAATGGAGAGATAATTGAATTTGACATAGTACGACAAAATAATTAGTCTGATATGACTACATTTTTATTATGAAAACTTTGCTTATATTTCTTAATTCACATCAAATAAGAACCAGGCCATATAAGATTGACTTTAAACTGGAATTCAAATATTTCTGATAATTCTTTTAGAAAAATGTATACATAAGAGCTGTGCTTTTTCAAGGCTGATCATATCTGATTATTTATTTTTAATGCCTTGAGACTATGTAATGATTTTTTTTAAAATGGTGTCATTACTTACCGGTTGCCCAGGATCTCCATCTTCACCCTTGTCACCACCAACACCATCTTGACCCTATAAAGGGCAATAGAAAATGAACTCAGATGTATGAGTATCTCACTATTAATTCATTTTTATCAGAGAAAACAATATAATAGACTATTAGAGTGTTCTGGAGATAAATCATGATCAGATAGACAAATAAAATTACTAGATTCTTTAATTTTTTTAATAAAGGACTGTGGGGCCAATCACTATCTCCATGAAGATTTGTGAAATTGCTACTATATCAGATTTAAAATGCAGTTTTCTCTTGATATAAGGAAAGAAAGAAGATGCAATTAATGTACAAAGACTAGATTCTTTAATTTTTTTAATAAAGGACTGTGGGGCCAATCACTATCTCCATGAAGATTTGTGAAATTGCTACTATATCAAATTTAAAATGCAGTTTTCTCTTGATATAAGGAAAGAAAGAAGATGCAATTAATGTACAAAGATAGTACATCCTTTCACCACGTACAAATATATGGTGCAGCTCAAAAGAGGATTTTCATTACAGAAGAGACTGAGAGGAAAGAAATGACCCTGTAATTTTGAAATAATAGTAATGCTGCTACCCAGATCATTTGTTTGTACAATCTAACAAAGTATGGAATACTAATCCAAATGAAGAACATAATAATGCAGTATGGCTCTAATAGTCTCCACCAATACAGATTTTCTTATAATTGCAATTACTGTTTATATTTTCTTTTTCTTTCTGCTTTTCATAGTCTACTTAAGTAATTAAGAATTTTCTGTAATTATTAACAATACAGACATTGGGACTATCTCCCCCCAAAATCATTCCTTTATTTTTCCATGATACTTACTGCAGGGCCAGGTTCCCCAGGAGGACCAGGATCTCCAGGAAAACCAACAGGACCCTAGAGTGATGTTTGTAAAGGGAAAAATAAATAAAAAATAAATTTTCAGAAATTTATACTAATCTGAAGTTTAAGAAGTTAAATTCAAGGCAAAACCTTGAATTTATGAATTCAAAACAGTGAATTTAAGAATTCAAGAGAACATTTCTCATCTCTTGGTAGGGAAGTTCTAAAAAATGAAATCAATTGAGAATGCTAATGAATACATGAAATGATGAAAAGTCTGCCTTACCAACTGTGGGCCAGAGTCTCATGATTTCTAATATTTCTATGAAAAGCTCCAAAGTGTATTTGGCATAAATGGCACATTAAAGGGGACCAAACTCACTTACCGGGTTGCCCTTAGGGCCATCGTCACCTGGTGGCCCCTTAGCACCAGGAGGTCCAGCAGCACCAGGTGGACCAGCTTCTCCTTTCTCTCCTCTTTCTCCTTTGGGACCCTACACAATGGAAGACAAAGAATAGTTACCTTACCAATTTTAAGTCAGTGTTCCTTAACCTCCGTACTTTGGGCCAGACAATTCTTTGCTTTGGTGGGGGGCTATCCTGCGATTTATAAGAAGTCGAACAGTATCCCTGGCCTTTACTATGTGCCAGCAGCTATTAGCCCTCCAAGTTTGACAACAAAAAATTTCTCCACGTATTGCCAAATGTTTTCTGGGGGCAAATTCACTCCTAGTTTAAACTAACCTATGTTAGGATAATACAATCCTAATACCATTCATAAATGTTTATTTGAGAGAGCAGGGTGTGCTGTTTGTTTCCATTATGGAAAGCCTGTCAAAGAGAATGTATACAGTAAACAGCTTATATGAGGATGCTTCAAAAAGTTCATGGGGCCAGCCCCGCGGCTCACTTGGGAGGGTGTGGCACTGATAGCGCTGAGGCCACTGGTTCCGATCCTATATAGGGATGGCCGGTGTGCTCACTGACTGAGTGTGGTGCGGAGAGCACCAAGCCAAGCGTTACCATCCCCTTACCGGTCAAAAAATAAAATAAAAAAATAAAAAAGTTCATGGAAAGATTTGTAGTATCTTTTAATTCTATTTTTCCTCAAACTTTCTGAAGTACCCTTGTACTTTAATGTTTTTGATTATGCAAATGTGACTTTTTTTTCAATTGGTATGTGAATCAAAATATACAGAGTATATGCAAAGTTATTAAACAATAAGGCTCTATATTTGTGATTATTCATAATGGTTTAGAAAGTGAAAGTGAAAAACAGAATCACAGCTAGGAGCTAAGTTACATGTTTAACATGCTGTAAAAGAAATTCTTAAACACAAAACACCCCATACTGACAATAAGACATCACTTACACCTGGGCCTGCCTCTCCAGGGGGCCCTGGGTTTCCTGCTTCTCCAGGTTCACCCTGTACAGAAAAAATCAAATGAGTATTAGAATACAGAAATGATGTTTCACATTTGTAAAACTGCCTTCAATTATGACCATACATTTTAGATTAGCCTTTAAATTATTACAGTGTTTAAAAGGTACTGAAAAACTTTAATAAGAGGAAGAAACTTTCTGTATTACTCACTTCAGTACTTCTATTTCACAGGCAAGGAGACAGAACCAGACAGGCTTGATGCTAAATTCTCACCCGTTAGTTAATAGCCAGTGTATTAACCCAGGTTACCATCAAACCATCATAGCAGACATCTGCATTTTTCATAAGAAATTATGTATTTGTACTGCATGAATATTTATACTATAGTCAAGTTTTTTGATTAAACACTGTCATTTTTTTTTAAACTAAAATATGAACTCACTTATCTTTATAACAAATCAACAAATAATTTGGGAGTATGTTGATATCCTCATGGAATATGTTTGGTAGAGAATTTAAGAACATAAAGAAAAGACTATAATTATGAGATATACAAAGGTACCTATATACTAATTAAAACTGCCCCATTTGAATATATACTCTCACATGTGATAAATTTGATAGTCTTTATGATCCCCTGTTCAGATATAGATGGCTGTTTCCTAGCTCAGCAGACTAATCAATAAATCTCTTAGACTAGTAGGCTGTAGCTATGAAAGACTCTTGCTAATGCCTCACACTTAGAAATGAATAAAGCTATAACATCTTCTTCAAGGAATAATTTAAGTGAATTAATACAGTGCATCCATGTTTTGTGTTTCCACTCAAAATCAGTGCTACTAGCAACTGAAATCAGTGCTCTTTGCAATTCTGATGTGGATATCATCCTCGTAAATTGAAAAAAACTGTGAGGCCTGCATTTTCTTCAATTTTTAACTCTGGTATTTCCAATATTCCTGGTACAAACCCATTGCTCTTATTGGTTTGAAATGTATCATATTAAATATAAACATAATTCCAAGGACTATTTTGTGTACATAGTTTCTTACTCTTTAAGAATATAAACATATCTTAATTTCTTAAATTACCTACATAATGGTGGAAGACATCAAGTATTCTCCAGGAATTTACTGGTAATACTATTGTGTATAAATTATTTTCTCTCTCAAGATAAATAGCAAATATTTCCAGTGTTCTGTTTAAACCTTAAAGGAAAATATTGCATTTACATTATTTATAAAGAAAGAAAGTATTCAGCTGTCACAGTATGATGAAATGATACATAAGTAATATTTTCATGAGCTGTTATTCATATCTTTGAAATATGACAAGACACATATTTCAATATAACAAGTAGTTTGCTATTCAAATCAGTTGTAGAATGCCCCTATTAAATACTTTATATATAAAATATATATTATTTATTTAGAAATACAGGAAACCTATTGAACATGCACAAAATGTTTCCTTATGTGCTACATTAACCCACAGTAATATCACAGAAAAAGTTAGAACTAGAAGAGAAATAGGTACAATTTTTTTAGTCATCCTCTGTATGTTTTTTTGTTTCCTTTCCTTCATTGTCAATTCTAAAGTTAAGCTTCTGGTGAATCTGGAAATATTATTTCTATCTTTTTTTTTTTTAAATAATGGAAACGATAAGTGGTGAAGGGATGGGTTTAAATAATTGCCAAAAATTTAAGGATGAGCTATTTACTACAGTCTCTTCATTTCAAGAACAATACATAAATATTCATTTGTTCAAAAATACATGTGAAGATTACTCTTTGGTATATTAAAGTGTATACCATATAAATAGCTGTTACTTAAGATGAAAATAATATTATCTAAAAGTGTTTCATTTCGAATCTTCTTAAAGGGAATGGAACAAAATTACAAATAACTAAAACAATGCCACAAGACTGTTCATATATAAATTAAATCTATATTTCAATTATCAACAAGGCTACATAATATTCTTTCTAAAGAATAATCATTGATATAAATTACATGAAAGAGCACTGGTATATGAAGGAGTTGTTATATTATGAAGTTATCATTATTTACTCTGTAAACATTTTACCTCATTCTATAAGAAACTTGTTCACGTAAAGCCCCTTCAGAAGGAACAATGAATGACTATATGACCAAATTTATAAAATATATATTAAATCTTACAGAAATATCCTGATATATTTCCTTGTTTTAAGGAAGTTATTGAAGTACAGAAGCCACCTACAGCACACATACACTACATTAAGAACTAAACAAAGTGCACTATGACTAAAAAATATTAGCTTTTTTTCTTTGTTAATGACTAAGAATAAACTTTCCAAAATAGAAATAAAGATGTATTCAGCAGCCAGAATCAAAGGTGATGTCAGAATTCTGTACTCTGACATCAGAAATCTGTACTCTGGAGCAAATTATATTACTCCAGATTCTAATAAAAAAAATAATGAAGTTAGAGTTTTTATTCAACCCACTTCTCTGTTACATAGAAGACAAACAAACAAACAAAAAAGAGCAAAATTAAAACTCTATATTTTTTAGTGTAACAAATTTCTAATCAGGTATATTTTATTTTATTTTTTATTTTTATGTTTTATTTTTTCATTAAATTTTTATTTTGTCAATATACAATGTATATGATTATTATGGCCCATCACCTTCCGTATCCACTCATCTGATGATGGACATTTGGGCTGATTCCAACTCTTGGTTATTGTAAAGAGTGCTGCAATGAACATTGGGGTACAGGTATACCTTCGACTTGATGATTTCCATTCCTTTGGATATATTCCCAGCAGTGGGATAGCTGGGTTATACGGCAGATCTATCTGCAACTGTTTGAGGAATCTCCATACCATTTTCCATAGAGGCGGCACCATTTTATCAGGTATATTTTAAATGTAAAGTCAAATCACCAATCTGATGAACTGAATCTTTCTCTTAGAAATCAAAGATGGCAAAGTGTTACTATGTAGGCTTTGACCTAAATGGAAACAATGTAGAAGGGAGTTTCCCAAAACTCCAAACATGGGTTATCCACAGCTATCTTCAAGAGTAACACATAGGAAAAAGAACATACGAGAAGCAACTAAGTACTTAAAACCATTCCCTCAGCATTCAAAATCTTAAGGAAACAAGTAAAATAAAGCTTAAAAAGCTAGTAAATGGTTTGGAAATTTGCTATGTAGACAAAACTAAAATTAGAGATTAGTTCTCATAAGTACATAGTCAGCAACAGAACCAAAAAGATGATGCAAAGAGAAGAGCAAAAGGTGTAAGTTTGATGTCATTTGTCTAATACAGTGACATCATCAGAGGCCAGTGCTCTCTTATGCTATTCTTCTGAGGACAACTGAACTCCATGAAAAATGAGTTTGTTTCTACCCCAAAACACCTGAACAGTTTCAACACACAACTTAAATTTAAGAAAAAAGACCTTATACTAAAGTCTTTAATCCATTTTGAGTTGATTTTAGTATGTGGTGAGAGGTGCATATCTAGTTTCATTCTTCTGCACATGTATATCCAATTTTCCCAGCACCACTTATTGAAAAGGCAGTCTTCCCCAATGTAGATTTTTGTTGTCTTTGTCCAATATCAGATGGCCGTAAGCCTAAGGAGGGATTTCTGAGTTCTCTATTCTGCTCTACTCATCTGAGTGTCTATTTTTTATGCCACTACCATGCTGTTTTGGTTGCTGTAGCTTTGTAGTGTAATTTGAAGTCAGGTAGTTTTATGCTTCCAGCTCATTATTGGAGAATATAAATACAACTGATTTGGGGGCATTTATTTTGTATCCTGCAACGTTACTGAAATTATTATCCAGCTCTACGAGTTCTTTGATAGAGTCTTTAGGTGTTTCTATATATAGTATCATGTCATCTGCAAATAGGGACAGTTTGACTTCCCTAATCCTTCCATCTTTTCTAATCTGGATGCCCTTTCTTTCTTTCTCTTTCCTGATTGCTCTGGCTAGTACCTCCAGTACTATGTTAAATAGAAGTGTTGAGATTACTAAGGGAAAATTATGTGAAATATTTGAGGAACTAGGTCTGGGCACAGACTTTATGAATATGAGCTCAAAAGCACAAGCAACAAAAGAAAAAATAAACAAATGGGACTATATCAAACTAAAAAGCTTCTGCACAGCAAAGGAAACAATCAACAGAGTGAAATGACAACCTACAGAGTGGAAGAAAATTTTTGTTAACTATGCATCTGATAATGAATTAATATCCATAATATACAAGGAACTCAAGCGATTACACAGTAAAAAAACAAATAACCCAATTAAAAAATGGGCAAAGGAGCTGAACAGACATTTCTCAAAGGAAGACATATAAATGGCCAACAGGTACATGATAAAATGCTCAATATCACTAGTCATCTGGGAAATACAAATTAAATCCACAGTGAGATATCACCTCACTCCAGTTAGACTGGCTATAAAAAAAGACTGTGAATAATAAATGCTGGTGAGGGTGTGGAGAGAAGGGAATGCTTCTTCACTGTTGGTGCAACTCTAAATTGGTACAACCACTATGGAAAACAGTATGGAGGTTTCTCAAACTACAGATAGATGTTCCATATGATCCAGCAATCCCAATTCTGGTATATACCCAGAGGAATGGAAATCATCATGTCGAAGGGATACCTGCACTTCCATGTTCATTGCAGCTCTGTTTACAATAGCCAAGAGATGGAACCAACCTAAATGTCCATCCATGGATGATTGGATAAGGAAACTGTGGTATATATACACCATGGAATACTACTCTGCCATAAAAAAGAATGAAATACTCCCATTTGCAACAACATGGATGAGCTTGGAGAAATTTATGTTGAGTGAAATAAGCCAAGTACAGAAGGATAAATACCACATGTCCTCACTCATAAGTGGGAGCTAAGAGAGAAAGAAAGAAGGAAAGAAAGACCACAGTGGTATCTTGGACTTGTACAGGGAGAGAACATACCTAGGGATACAAAGTGGAGTGGGGGAAAAGGAGAGGGGGAGGGATGTTGGGGATAATTGGGTGGAGGAGACAGGGTACAATTGCAATTTGTGGTAGTGGGCATGCTGCTCAGATGGATCTGATCTTCGCATCTAGGGCACGAGGGGTGACAATCAGCTTCGTATCTCATAAACATTATAACCAATAAACAAACAAACAGATAAATAAAATAATAAATACAAAAGCAGACAATAAAAAAATAAATAAATAAAAACAAAAAACTGCACTGTTTATGCAGCACAAATTAGATAACTTTTTCTAAATTTTATAATTTAATGATTAATAAACTACTTTTAAGATAGTTTCCAGATCATCTAATCATAAAGAATTAATTATAATCAAAATACTAGATTGTGAGATTTGAGCAGAAGTAAACACCAAAATGACATATTCTAATCTTATTACATTTTCTTTTCTAAGGGTTATATCCTTTAATTAAAATAAATGAATTAAAGTACAAGATAAAATATATCAAGAGGACTTGAGGCCAATGAACAGAATCATTTTTAATATTAGGTTAAGTGTACGCCACTGATATCCTTTAATAACTAGCAAATTCAGGAGAATTTTACATGTTTTTATATATGTAAAATGCTTAGAAAAACACTAATATAGAAGCACTTAAAATATTACCCAATATTATCAAAAGCCCTTAATTGGTGCTGTTTTAAACTGTATATCTCTAGATTTCTTACCTTTTCTCCAACACCACCAACCGAACCAATAGATCCTGGGGGTCCTTGTGGCCCCTACAGTGCAGAAAAAGGAATGTAGTTAACCTTATTGTTTTAATGAAATAAATTCAGAAACATATATCTAGTTGTTCTCAAAGAGAGAAAAATATATGAAAGAGTATTCTGAGTCCTTTTAAGGATGGGACAAAATGATGTCTTTTATTGATCGTCAAACTTACTGGACAGCAAATAATTTAAAATATTACACTGATTTTCAAATTCAGTACAGTTTTGAAGCAGAAGACTTTCTAGCTCTGATCATGCCAGTTGATGCCAAGAATATAAGTTCAATTTCTCTACCCATGGAATACCTAGGTCGGGTTTAGAGGATGGTTTTGTACTAGATCATAGTTGTGACTCTGGTTAAGAGTCGCACAATCCATGAAAAATCAAAAACGAAAACAAAACAACCCCCTTAGAAATCATCTTATAGCCTTTAAATAATTTAAAGGGAATTAAAACCTAAAGGTTATTTTAGTTTATCTGCTCCTAGTCTATATTACTCAGGTCTGACCTGTCAGAATTAAGAGCAGGCATAAAAGAAGAGCAATAAAGACAAGCCAGAAGAAAGAAGAAAGCACAGGCTTCTTCCCTGTGAAAAGGTGCAATCAGAAAAAGAGACATCGCCAAAGTCTATAAGTCCATTAATGGTAACAATAAGATAAATACACTATTAAATTTCAAAATCCTGTCACATTGCAACAACTTTTAGGCCTGGGGAATATCCTCTTTATACAATTGAGAGGAAACGTTTTACATGTTAAGAGGTGCACTTATCACAAACATATTGCTCTAATATATTTTATGAACTAAAAATGCAAAATGCAAAGCTTTTAGTTAAAAGCCACTGAAGACAGATGCATACACACAGGATATTTGAAGTACAGGCCTGGACAGTCAAAGCCAATTACAAACCATCTTCTCATGCCATTGTCAAAGATAAAGGTTAAATTTGAAATGATTCAGCAACTATCTATTGAACAGTTATTATATGCAAGGCACAAAGTATATTGATCTGAACAATGTGTTTTATTATAATTCATATAATACAGTTAGTATTTTTCACCCATCAATAAAATACTTGTATATATTGAATGTGAACTCTGTACCTATTTTATATTTGTGGCAACTTGTTCCCTATAAAGCCTTTTTCTTTCCCTGTATAATGAAGTGGAGTGAGTTTATGATTCTTAAGTTCTCATCCACTTCTAATATTAAACAATATTGTGGTTATTTCCATTGTACCTTGAAAATTGCTAGAAATAATACCAACACCTAAATAATTCCAAAATAATTAACGTATATTTCAAAGTTCTTACATCGGCTCCATTGGGACCTTGAGGGCCTCTTGGGCCTGGAGGACCAGGTGGACCCTGTAAGAGATGAATATTAAGGTTTATAAGGACCAAACTCAAATATATGTCTAAGATTTTCATTGTGTGATTGAAAACAAAAAGACTAAAAAATGTTTAAGCCTGTAATATCATAGTCAGTGAAGCATACCAGGGTTATAAGTCATTCTTAATGGATGCAACATTGTGTTAGCAAATGATCCTTTACAAATATCTACAATGGAATTAGGACTTCAGGAAAAATAATTTGATTAGAAAATGGGCCTAGAAAGTCTATTGCTACTGTCTGTACGATGCATTCATAAACAACTAGCAATATCTTATGCTAGAATATGCTAGAATACAAAGGAAATATAAATTTAGAACAGGAAATGGTGTTTGAGTAGATTTAGAATTCATTAACTCGAAGTATTTTCGTTTTAAGTTTATTTGTATATTTTTTATGTCAGTTCTTATGTTCTACATGCTAGAATTGGAAATAAGAANTTTATTTGTATATTTTTTATGTCAGTTCTTATGTTCTACATGCTAGAATTGGAAATAAGAATAACTACTTAGTTGTATTTCTACAACAAAGCTCCTTTCTCCTGGCTGTGCATTAAATTTACCTTAGGGCACTTTTTATAAGATACTGATTGCCAGAACCCCCCTACCTCAATATTGTGATAAAAATAGTCTATGGTAAATACCAGGGCATTAGTATTCTTTAAAGGTCTCAGTTTATTCTAATGCCATGGTTGAAAAGCTTCCCTACTATTACCTATTATCATAAGGTCAAGGAGAATACATGAGTGATTCAGGGAATCATAGCAACGATATCTACAAAGGAGTTTTCTATGTACCTGATACTGCTTGGAAGTATTAATCAGTTATTTGAATGAGCAATGTTTATTATGTTTTCCTTATATTTAGGTTTTTTGATGATGATAAGAATTGTTTCAAAGAATATAATAGATATGGGTGTGCTCCTCAAGAAGAATAAAATCTAACACACATACGAGTATAAAAATATCAAAATGTATTCTGAAGGAAGTAAACATAAAGGGCAATGTTGAAGGAAAGAAACAATTACAAAATGAATTCACATTTCATTATAAATTTCAATTATCTTTGCTAATTATTTGCTTATCTAAGGCAGTGCTTCATAAACAACTATATGTATTTCAAATTTTGGATTGAGATCTTAGAGTGAAAAGCTAGAATCAACAAATGCAAATATTATAAGCCACAGCATTCTAATTAAGACAGAATTCCTTGCTAAATCAAAACTTTTGTTTCAAAGTACAACAATTTATATTTGATTGTGTATTAACATTTGTCAATTATATAAATCCTGTGTGAATATTATCTATTCTTTACCTGCTCCATGTCAAAAGCCAGAGCTAAAGAATAAGAAATAAAGTGTGGCAGTTCATTATATACACCTCAATAATATATAGAGAGAAATTAAAAATATATAACAACCTACAAACCAATGAATACCAAACATGTATATAACTTTGTTCCAAAGTGAGAAAGAGAAAAGATAGATATTCAATATGATAAACATCAATATTCGGTGGTCGCAAATGGAGGTTAAATAGGAGAAAGGCGAAGTGTCAATATCTATCAAGCACTAGAAAATACAAACTTACCATGGGACCGACATCCCCATTTTCACCTTTTTCACCAGGTGGGCCTGGCAGACCCTAAGAAAATAACAGGAAAAAAAAAGTCATTCATGTATTTAAAAAGAAACATTTGGACAATTTCTAATACAAAAGCAAAAATTAAATGTAAAGTGAAATAGCACATGTAAACCAAGATTCAGAAACTAACATGTTAAAATATGTATAGAGTGTCGAACACTTGTGATAAAATCTTACTTGTACATTTATATATAAAATTTATTCTTTGTATTATAGCATACTGTTTGATTTTAGTTACAATAACTAAATACATAATTTGATCTGAGAATTTATGAAGACCTAACCATTTTCTCTGTCTTTTACAAATAGTACATAGGTCTGTCATGATACAAATTTTGGAAAAATCTTGGCCCAAATTGTTTTAGAATATCCTCTCCAGTATATTAGGCACCAGTTTAACAAAACTCTTTGGAAAATAAATATTCCAATATATTTCCAGGGTTATAAATATCTTCAGAATATTTGATCTGTTAATTCCTCTTCTGAATCTTAAAAATTCATAAGGCCGTGAAACTTGTTATATTCGTATGATACTTCCTTTATTCTCTCAATTCCATTTCCATTGCATCCAATTGCACTGTAATTGCTTTAGGAGAGATTCTGTGTTACAGTATAGACTCAGACAGAACAGGGTGCACTCAAATTTCAACTGGCTACGATTTTATGGAAAAATTGAGTTATTTCCTTTTGATCAATTACTGATCTAATTCTTTCATGCAGAACTGTTTATATTTCTTATTTCATGTCACAACAATACTTGTATGTACTTGAGTTGTATACTTATAAGCATGATTATGCCACTTCCTTATATACTTATAATCATGAGTTACATTGGGTCAGTGGTCTTGTAAGTAAATTTTTCATCTCCAGGAACTATCAGAGGACCAAATAAAAACTAGAATTTTTGTAAAATGTGTGTTGAATGAATAATGAATGAATAAATTCTAAGAAAATAAGCCAACAGGAAAAG